GACCACAATGACATACAGCATCTCTGACACATCTTGGCGTGTTTTGTGTCTAAAGCATGATGACCCAAAAAATATAAACATGCTCAACCCTTTTTAAAAGAGAAAATATCTATTTTAACAAAGTAAATACAATTGTTCTTAAAGTATCCTGTGTAGTATTACATTCGCTTAACAAACCTTAAAATGTTCCTAACTTCATTGTTTACATGCGAAGTCTATGTATCTGAAGATGTGTATAAAAATGTTTGTATTTGAATTGCAGTGGTGCTACAAAAGGGTGTGTGTGCTGTACGGGACTCGTCCGGAGGGCGTGGATGGGGGCTGGGGTCTGTGGTCACCCTGGGAGGAGTGCAGTAGGACGTGTGGAGGAGGGGTCTCCTCGTCCATCAGACACTGTGACAGCCCCAGGTAAGGCTCTCAACTGTGACCCCTCTCAAATGCTTTATTTTTGGGGTTTAAGATGAACTTGGATATATAGCGGATCATTATCTGTTGCCGATATTACATTGTCAAGTATCAACTTGAAAGTACTGATCCACATTCCAGACTGTTTGTAGTTCCTCTTGTTATGAAATACAATTAAAACCCTTTCTTGATATGTATAATTAAAGGTTTTGAGGAATCTTGGTTTAAACATGTGTTCACTTACGATTAAGAAAGATACGTCACAATACGGCCTCATGCTACCTTGGAAATAGAAGAATGATCATTTACCTGCCAAAGGACACTTGAGAACTCAGATAAACCCCCTTATTAGTATAAACATATAAAATCACAGCACAAAGCTCCACGGCTCACATTAATTTACAGGCAACATTGCCACTTTTTTTTGTGTATAAAACAACTCCGATGCGTCATCACCAAACCACTGGCAGACTTGCTTTTGAATCGCAGTCACCATATCCCTCATCTTGAATTGATTAAACTGAGAATAAATTGATTCAAATCTGAGGCCAACGGTTTTCTTTCTTATCATTTTTGAGAATCATTTGCACATTTGTTTTGGCTCCATTCGGTTCAATTTGCTGAAAGTTGAGCTGAGGTAACTATTCGTCAGCGGCTGGCTCGAGATTTCTTCTCTGGCGTTTTAAAATATGTTTTTATGTAGAGGTGTTGTCGTGCCAGTCTGTAATAGACAATAAAGCAATAAAAGGTACAGACAGTGAGATTGAAAACACACTGATGCAGGCAGACAAAGCAGGGATCAGGAGCCAGTGTTGTGTGGGGAAGTGATGGAGGTTAGAGCTTTTAAATTGTACTCAGATGTGACTGACTTTGTGTTTGGTTGTAGGCCAACTATTGGTGGAAAGTATTGTCTGGGGGAGAGAAAGCGCTTCAGGTCCTGCAATATTGATGTGAGTATAGCTGCTCTTCATCGCCGTCATGGTCAACATACTAAAACATGGATATAATTTATTCAATGTGTTTGTGTGAGGTATTTTGCATGAGACTTTGCTGCTTGAATGTGTTTGCATATGTACATGGTTGTGTTTGTGTGTGTGTATAAATGTGTGTGTGTGTGTGTGTGTTACAGGAATGCCCTGCAGGCTCTCGGGATTTCCGGGTTATTCAGTGCGCAGATTTTGACAGTGTTCCTTTCCGGGGAAAGTTTTACACCTGGAAGCCATACAGAGGGGGTGAGTAAGTAACTGTGTGTGTGTACCTCTTTGCCCTTAACATCTCCCTCTGCTCTATTGAGTGTTTTAGTGTCTTAAAGCTCATTGTTTGGGTTTTATATCCACCTTTAAAATATAAGAGTTCAAGGGCAAATCTAAAGTAGTTTCAGTTGTGTGTGTTGTGTGTGTGTGTGTGTGTGTGTGTGTGTGTGTGTGTGTGTGTGTGTGTGTGTGTGTGTGTGTGTGTGTGTGTGTGTGTGTGTGGTGTGGTGTGTGTGTGTGGTGTGGGTGTGTGTGGGTGTGGGTGTGTGTGGGGGTGGGTGGGTGTACGTTCGTGTGTGTGTGTACGTGTGAGGGTGTTCGTGTGTGTGTGTACGTTCGTGTGTGTGTGTACGTGTGAGGGTGTTCGTGGAGAGAGAGGTGAAAGTGAATTGAAGCTGCAGACTGCTTCTTGTCTGGCCTGCAGATGCTGGCTGCAGAGCGCCATGCATTCCCAAAATGCTTTGCGAGAATTCCTCGCTCCTGATGAGCACTGTGCTGGATGCGAAAGAGAAATAGCTTGAACGACATAACTGCCTTTAATCTATCCCTCCAATAACCTAATGGCTTACAGAGATGGCCGGCCAGCCAAATCCAACTTCAGGCAACAAGTGTTCCTTTCATCAAGTCAGCTGATTTTACAATGGAAATCCCTTGCAGCTGTTAAAATAGGAACGGTGCCATAGACTCTGCCCTGCGTTAAGGCCATATACCACCGCCCAGCCCCTCTGCAGCCCTCTCACTCTCCTCACATTCTCATGTCAGCTTACCTCCTTTCACTCTTACCCTCTCATTCCACGAAGACAGCTTCCTTTTCTTCTTCTTGCTTTTTGACTTTGTCCTTACTGCTCTGGTCTCTCCTCCTCTCACTTTATTTAGTTCACCATTATGCAATCTCTCTCTGCTGACATTGAGAACAGAGGCAGCCTTTCTCTCTCCGCTCACGCAGCCAAAGACAGTTCATTAAAAAAGGTCTGTTGTTTAAGCTGTTTTGTTTTTTTAACAAACATGCTGTTACACATTGCTGTTCTCAGTCCAACAGCTTTTACGTTCAACCTTCACACTCCATAAAACACACCCTGCCGCGAGCCGCGCTTGCCCTGCCAAAGCTAGGCACCATGGGAATTGTAGTTTTCCATGGTCTGACCACTTAATCGTCTACAGGTCATCTCAGTACATGCTCTCTCTCCCTTTTTCTCCATTCCAGTACATATTGTACCTGCTACAGCGCTGCCAAGGCAAACAAACACAGCCCAAATTGATGTCAACAGCCACTCAAATAGTGGAGCTGTTGGAGAGCCGCACGGATGAATGAAGGATATATACAACATGGCCAGACAAGACCTCAGTGTGTTAGTGCGGGCGTGTGTGTGAGAAAATATGGTATAGTCTTGCAAGTGCAAATCACTCTTAACTGTGTGGGTTTGTGTTATGAATTGTGTTTAGTTATGGATATCCTTTGTCACAGAGCATTTACAAATCACTAGAGATCTGAAAAAACACAAATATAGTTATTTGTCTTCTATGATGGAACGTTTTAAATATCTGATTTGGAAATATAAGTACATATCATTTTGTATGGTTTGAAAACACAAGTTGTTTTAATAAGATGTGCTTTTTCACTGGTATGTATCATGTTGGACAATAACAAACATGACCTAAACATTATAGTGGTTACAAAATGATTTATAGATTCACATTTAGCTACTTGTTCTCTGTTGGTCAGCACTGGAAATTCGTTTTTGGTAAATTGGCCTTGCTGCAGAATTGAGTGCTGCCTTAATAACTTTTCTATCAGCCTCCTTCAAATTCTGCTTTGTTTGGCATATTTTCAGTAGCTCAGACTAACTTTTTACAGGACTTCAGTGGGCTGTATAAAATATATTATTTGTAGTGCATCAGGGAGATATAGCGCATATATACTGATGCTTTATCATTTACATACACGTCACCTCAAGTTTAATTTCGAAGCTTTTCTGGACTTGAGTAACATTTAAATTATAACTATATGGAAATTTAAAGAGCAACATTTAAATGATAACTTCTTAAATTAAACTTACATTTTCAGCCTTATCAAAGGGATCTAAAAGTATCAAATATAATCTATTTTTCATTATGTTATAGTATTGGAGAACTGTCATTGACATTTGTCCTATATGCCTTTGCCCACATAAACCAGTGCACACCAGTGGGTTGTCACTGGAGCCTGGACCTGGCATGTGGTGCAATTTACTTTCAATTTGTATGTTCTGGTAAATCAATACAACAGCATAGACTAAGAAAATAGGGAACGCCAAAGAACGTTTTGGCCAGAGAACCTGTGCGTGCCATTTGTGGAAATCTTGAAATACATGTCTTTCAATTGAACACTTTCCCCCTGTGACCGTGTGCGTGTTTATAATATTTAGATTTGTGCAGACATACACTACATGTGCATGTGTATTGTACTTGCATTGGGACCTGTGCATGCAGCTTTAATAGAATGGGTTGATGTCCATGTTTGTGTGCTATAAATCCGATATACTGATACTGTGGTGTGCTCCCTGTGTGTATGTCTGTGTGTAGGTGGGGTGAAGCCCTGTTCTCTCAACTGTCTGGCAGAAGGATACAACTTCTACACGGAGCGTGCTCCAGCCGTGGTGGACGGCACGCCTTGCAGAGACGACTCTTTGGATGTGTGTGTAAATGGAGAGTGTAAGGTGAGATAAGGCTTTTCCGTGTGTGTTTGTAAGTATTCATGTAAGCGTTTAATTGAAATAAATTAGAGCCATTAGACATCTGCATGTGAGCAGACAGTTGAAGCTGAAGCAGCAGAATAGAGGATCAAGAAACGAATGAGATAATGTTGTTTATACTCGCTCTCCAAACCCTGGATTGCCGCCACTGTGTTGTCTAAACAATGACTGCGGACGATCATCACAATCAGCTGCTTAACTGAGAAATTGTTTTAACTTTGGCAGTGATCTCCCATTCCCATCAACCATGCTCTCTCTTAATCTCGGCTGTTAATGAAAACAAAACATCTAGCTGCTCATCTTAAAGTGAAGACCACCTGGAGGCCCAAAAGGTTCCTGGAACCCGTTTTGGCAGCCTCATGGTCCATTTGTTAAGGGATGTAGACCAAATGGATGGTAATAGCGTGCAGCTAAAATTGATCCACTTGTTGTTTATTTTGGATGTAGCATTTTCCAAAAAGTAAGTTGAATCTTTCGATGGAAAGGGAAAAAATGTGAGGACAGAAGAAAGAAAAAAATCCTGATTTCCAGCGTGTTGTCTTGTGGTTGTCTGAGTGCCAACAAAAATAGTTTTCACCTCCCCCTTGTCCTGGCTCTTACCCCCCATGATCTGGCTTATTGAAGGGTCTCAAAGGTTATGTAAGGGAGGCTGAACTCATCCAAGAGGAGAGTTTTGTTTATCAACATCTCCTCTCTGTTCTCTCCTCTTGCACCGATCTCTCTGATTTCCCCCATGCTTTGCTCTGTTCTGATCTGAAAGAACTCTGTGACCCTCCTGCTCAGCTATTAGTCTGTCTGCACTGCAGGCACGCTTTATTCACTGCAGTTGTTCTCTTTCTCTTTTTCTCTTCATCCATTCCTATCCCTGTTTTTGTTTACTCCACTTTTCTTCTGACTTTTCCTGTCCGTATTCCACTCAGTCATCCTTCCCATTATTCTTCTCCATCATGTCACCTGTCATATGTTTTATATACACATTTTAAATACAAATCTAACTTAAAAAACACTAAGGACAAATATCTTCCTTTTGGTTTCAGTTTTATGATTGCGGTCTGACAATGATAAGACGGGAGAAACAGAATGAAGTGTTGGAGATAGGAAAAGGACCTGAGAACAGATCTAGTCGTACAAAATCTGCTGCTGCAGACGAAAGGCACATGAGTCAGAGCACCTTTTCCCCAGATCTCTTGGACAAAATATACAGGGCCAGATTTACTATGATAATGGTGTTCTGCTAACATGTGGCACAGTTTTCAGTCGACTCCTGGACTGCACCTGTTGTTATAAGGCTTCTAGAGACGAGTGAAGTAGAGCTCTTAAGTTAAGAGATTTGTTTTTATGGTCATTTTTATTAAAGAAGGGAAAATGCACATACATATAAATGAGCACCTATTAACTGTGCTCGGTATTTTGTCAAAAAACCTCATTAAAAAACATTGTTTGTTTTCAAAGTATTTACTTTGTCTAACTCTCTAATGAATACAAACCACAACATCCCTACACTTTTTGTTCATTAATTGTGGTGTGGAAGTTCATTTTTTAAAGCATATATTTCAGCATCACAAAAACCCATATATATAAGACTTCTAATAGTCCTAGAGACCTTTATTTTTAAAAACGTCTTACTACCCACAATAAAAAGCCACCAGCCGATACCCATGAGTTGAATCTCAGTTTCAACCCTGGCTTTAGTTTTGAAATGGGATCTAATCAGTGTAAAAGTAATAATAAACATAAGTCTCATTATCCCTCTCTACAATAAACAACTGCCATATGAATATATGAGTGTGAGCGCTGTTGCCATTCATTGTCTACCCTTTTGTTTAGGTTTGGTTCCCTGTTAAAGAGTTTGAGTGAAACCACCTGCTTCACTCATCATGAAACTTATTTATGTCGACAGCTATGAGTTTAGCAACCTCAGAGCATTAAGTCTGCACAGGATCAAAAAACACATCTGGTCTTACCATCTGATAATTCTGTGTTTTGGAAAAGTGGTCTTGAAGACATTAGAGGTAATCCCTCAGCCCGGCCCCCGACACCTCTCCACTTACTGACTGTGCCCCATCACCCTGACTGACCCTTTAGCTCACTTGTTTCTCCCTTCTTGCAGCACGTAGGCTGTGATCGAGTCCTCGGCTCGGACGTGCGCGAGGATCGCTGCCGGATCTGCGGAGGGGACGGCAGCAGCTGTGACTCTGTGGAGGGACTCTTCAACGACTCGCTGCCCGAAGGAGGTACAGAACTCAAACACTCAAGCACCAGCCAACTCATACATTTTTTTAAATGCTGCCACAGAGATTTCTGCACATATAGATTAAGATGATTTCATGGCCGAGGGAAGATTTGATAAATATTGAAATACCTCCAGTGTTTCCCACAGAATTTGATTCTATTCCCCCCCCCCCCCGACAAGAAAAGCCAAAGGCCCCTTAACCTTATTCGGGTGGTCCACGCATCCACCCCCCCTCAAATAAGATAATACATGCGAGTTCATGGCTACTGTAGACAACGTTCTTGTTGCTCTGTGTTGCGTTGTTAATGAGTGAAACACACCGGAGTTGAGTATCTGTGGGGTTTATTCTCCCAAAAATATAATTTACATTTTACAATTTAGGCATTTGGCAGACGCCTTATTCCAAAGCGACTTACAATGACCAATTACAGGGACATTCTCCCTGGAGTAACCGAGTGCTAAGTGCCTTACTCAAGGGCACACTAGTAGTGGTGTTCCAGGCAGGATTTGAACTCGCAACCTTCCAATCATCAGCCCACCTCACTATCCATTAGACCACCAAAAAACAAAAAAAACAAAAAAAACAATAATATATATATTTTTTTTTTACGAGATCCATTTGTGGCGGACGATATTTATTTGTGGTGGGAATCAATGTATGGGAAACACTGACCTCTGCTCCTGAGAATCAAATTAAATTAACGGGATGCATTCACAGTGAGAAGTTATTCATTCTATTCGTTTTGTGCACAATCAACATTTGGATTTGAATGCTCTGGACTGTTAAATGCATCTTGGAAAGCTGCCTTGCAATGTGAGTTAGGAGGATACCCCAGACATTCAAAGTGTATCACATAATTGTCTGTTCACATGCAACCTCTGTCCACAGCAGCATACTGTTACAGCCATGCGTTAGATAAAGCCAACAGAACTCTACAAAGCTGCAGGAGAATCATTTGTTTCAGCACCTGCTCTGCTAGGAGATAAATGATGTGTATATCCGACCATTTACAGTTGACGCAGCCCAGGCTTAAAGTTGGCATTACAGATAATAACAATCGCTAGTCTTATCCATCATTGTGTCTACATTAGGTCTTCATGACATTTCTTATTATTGTGTTACATAATAACTAACGCCTATACATTGCTCTATAGTAGTTGTTAGTTCAACTGTCTCATTGTCTGTAAATATAGACTTAGAATAGGGTTGACAGGAAGATATAATTGTATATTATCTGCATATAAACAATGTAATACATCCACCAATGACATGACCAATGGCAATCTTATACAAAGAGAAAGATAAAATGAAGCTACCAAGTCTTACAAAAATATAAACCATTAAAGAGCCAAGTTGCATCAGTGCATGGTTATAGAGTTAATTGAATACATTGTTGTAACAATTAAGGGGCAAAACAGCTGTAAGGTCAATCAGGGTTACGATTAAGTAAAGGCCAGCATGGGTTACTAAGTAGAATTTGACAAAAAAAATTCGGAGAAGTAAAAATACTCCCTGAAAAACTCTTAACCCATAAATATACGCATATACAATACCATACGCTGTATGCATACATATATTTATCCAGCAGCTACCCAGGGACACGTGGCAGACAGATTTAGGTGAGGTCGGACCAGTGTGGCTTGAGGTCCAGCTGCTTTTGGATCTATTCTGGGTTTCATTTCTCCCCGCAACACCGACTTCAGAGTTTCTCACCCAACTGTCAACTCACCCCCTTCCAGGATTCCTCGGAAGGGACGCACCCTGAGCCGGCAGCTGTGCTCTGCACCGCAGTGGCCAGGCCAGCCGGTCAACCCCAGCTGAGGTCGCAACTATGTGCCAAATATCTGACATTACTGTTACCCTTAAAAAAAATCCATTAGGAGAGCTGAAGTCAAAGTGTAGGTTGCTGAGTCACGTGTTTCATGATCTGGGGATAGTATTTACGGTCAGTGTTTTTATTAAAGGGGGTTTTACAGGTTTACTTGTATTCCTCATGTCAATTACACTGATGTCCTAAAACAGTGAAGTGCTCCTTTAATCAGCTGCAGTCCCAGCATGCATTGCAGTTGTTGCCACCAGTGCAAACTTAAAGCAAAAGCGCCAAATATAGATCTAAAGGAGAGGTGTCATGCTTTTCCGGTTATTACCCGTCCCCTTGTGTGTTATGAAGGTTTTTATGCATGTAAACGGTGTGCAGAGTCAAAACCCTCAAAGTACACCCTGTAGCGAGTAAAACTCTAACACAGAAAATACCTCCCCAAAACGCCTCGTTGGAGATACGTCATTGTCCATTTGATTCTTCCGGGTACGGCATGATGTCATGCCGTACCCGGAACGAAATGGACCAATCCGTGGAGCCGTTACGTTGGCGGAGCCGTTACGTTAAGCCCCCGCTGATTGGTCCAAATTGACCAATCCACGGACTTCCTCACACACACACACACACACACTCAGTGCAGGCAGCTCTGCTGATTTCTCCTCCCTGGCTGCAGGCTGATAACAGACAGTTGGGATCGCGGCAAAATTCTCTCTGCAGACCCATTCTCACAGCGTTTATCAACCTTTTTCTTACTCAATATCAAGCCACACTTATTGTTTTTAATTCGGCTGTGACTTTGTGTGTGCTCAGGATGAGTTTGGCTGTGTTTCGCTATGTATCCTAAACAAGGAAACAACACCTCCACGGAGCTCAGTGCGATTCACAACGTCCCGACCAATCAGAGCACACTGTGCTCACAGGGAGGGTGGGGGCTGGAGCTATTGGAGCTACAACGAGCCGTTAAAGGCAGAGAGTGAAATTCAGTGAATACACGTAGTTTACAGAGATGCTGTATGAGAAACCAATGTGAGTTTGGAAAAACGCACAATATAAATCTATTTTAGTAGACCTCAACAATGGAATTATGATCAGTGGAAATGGCCATGACACCTCTCCTTTAAGGTTTTTTTTAACAAACAAAGACAATATGCATCTGTTTGGTTTTGCGAGTCTTGGTTCATTCCAAAACAATGGTTATTAATGTGCTGCTATAACAGCTTCTGGGACGGCTTTCCCCTCAAGATTTTGAAACCTGGCTGCTGGGATTTTCTCCCCTTCAGTTGCAAAAGCATGAGTGACGTCCACACTGGTGTTAGGCAATGAGGCCTGGCTTTCATTTATCCCAAAGGTGTTAGCTGATGTTGAAGTCAGGGTCCAAGCTGAAAAGATAGTAGTGTCTATAGGTTTGCCCATCTAATTACAATGTTTGCCAATACAAACTTAAGTAAAAAGAGGTCACTTAATTTGACATTTGACTAACCTGTCAGAAGTCCTAAAAGTCGGAACTCGGTGGACTTGGTCTCAACTTCCGTACAGCTTGTTTTCATCTCGAGGCAAACTGAAACTCCAGAGCCAGTCAAACATCTCTGGAGGTTTATTCTGGATACAGAAAGATTTCTGAATCACTTAGTCATGTCTATAACAAGCTTTTGATTACGCTGAACTCCCAAAGCCTTTAGCCAGTGCTTCTCTTCTCTGCTCAAGGCATTTCAATGTGGTCTGGGATTAAGCCATTGAACCTACACTTTAAAATGGAGGGAAAAGGACATAAAATACTTTTTTGATAGACAATGCAATATTTTGTCTATTCTCTGTGCTCTTGGCTCCAATCCAACAATGTCTCTTAAAAACTATTTCCATCTGTCCAGCCTGTGTCTCTGGTAGGCAGTAAAGTGTACCACACAGGTTCCCAATTATTAACAGATCAAACCTTTCTCACACTTTTGCTCTCCCAGTCTTTGTGGCCATCAAACTCCAAATCGGTTGCTCTAATCTTTGTCGCCTCCATCCAGAAACCCAGAGCAGGGTCAATCCGACCTGCAGAGCTCCATAGGGAGGTCACAAGCCAAACCTCTCCTTTTGTGGTCAAAGCTTTGGAAGGAATAATTTAATTTGTTTTTATTATTTGTGTGTGCCTACAGTTATTTACAGGGCTGCACTGACTGTAAAAGGTTGGTTTTCTCTGCAGAGGTGAGATGAGCGTAAAAAGAAAAAGCACAAGAGACTAAACCAGATGGCAGGACTAGATGAAGATGAAGACAAGGGGAGAAGCCGGCTCTTGGCTCGGTTCGTTCTCTAGCAGAGAGCCGAGCTGAGGCCGGCTGCCCAGGAATGCAGCTGGAATCTGAAGCCTCTGCTTAGTCCATTGGCGTCCCGCAGAGCTTAAAACTGCTTATGCATTGTTATCCCCTTCTTTAGCTTTTTGACTTTGTGTGTCTCAGGTTATGAAGAAGTGGTCAGAATTCCTAAAGGCTCAGTGTTCATCCACATACAAGAGCTCAACATCTCCCTCAACTACCTTGGTAAGATTATATTCAAGCTTATGTTTAGTGTTATTGCCTGTACATGTGATGAGTTAGAGAAATATACATAATATCTATGATAGAAAACTACAAAGCTGTTAAAATACTAAGTAAAGTACTTCATTTATCCAAAAGGAAATTGTTTTACAGCAGGTGAAATCCAAAGTTGTAAAGCATGCAAAGAAACAGAATATAAGCTAAATAAAATGATCAGGAATCAGTTATAGGTTTTTATCTGAATGTCTTAACTTTACTCTGAATACTCCTGCCTTCCTACCATTTATTTCTTCCTTCGTATTGTCCCTCTCCTCTGGTTCCCAGTGCTAAAGAGTAAAGGGGACCAGTACTTCATCAATGGGAAGCTGACCATTGACACGCCGCGTAGGTTTGATGTCGGCGGGACCATCTTCCACTACAGGCGGCCCACTGACGGACCAGAGACTCTTGAAGCTCTGGGGCCAACAAACATGACCCTGATTGTCATGGTAAGAATGGATCAAAAATACAGTGTTAACAAAATTGGGATCTTGAAAAAGTTTAACCATCATGTATTTTAAATGTTTGAATGTTCAGGTGCTGGTGCGTGAGGAGAACCCGGGGGTCCACTATCGCTTCAACCCCCCGATGAACAGGGAACCTCGGACGGGCTTTGCCTGGCACTACACCTCCTGGTCCCGCTGCTCAGCCCTCTGCGCTGGAGGTACACACACACACACACACACACACGCACACGCACACGCACACACGCACGCACACACACACACACACACGCACACGCACACGCACACACACACGCAGGATTAAACCCAGTCATAAGTGTCCAATGTCACATAAAAGTTAAGGGTAAAATGGCAAAAAAAAAGTAGAGTCCCTATTGAGGCATTTGGGCAGATCACCGACTCTGAGATTGGAGATATCACACATTGCTAATCTCCTTTTCCCTCACTGACCTTTTTTAGTTTACGAACTAATTTTCTCCTCTGAGAAGTAAATGGAGTCCTAAAGGAGACAGTCTGTTAAATTGTGTCACTTTTTTATGAATGACAGTTTTACATCAACACTAAGGCAACACTGTCTATGGCAATAAACTGAGAGGAAGTAAGAGATAAAAAAATGCTGTTAGACCAGATTACTTTTCACTTTGTCTTCCATACTGAAGCTTTGCTAGCACTATCATAGATCTTGGATTACCCGGCCCTTTCCCACATAACTAATCTCAGCACTGTGGCAGGGTTCAAAACAACTAACATGGAGATGCTAACGTATCCACTCACTTTATAATGCCTATGTGTGTCATGTTGTCGCAGGTGTGCAGACACAGCAGGTGGTGTGTAGGAAGCAGGCAGATCATTCAGTCGTCTACAATCACTTCTGTGACAAGAAGATCAAACCTAAAGAGAGGAAAAGATCCTGCAACACTGAGCCATGCTCCCCATCGTGAGTAGTCTCCTGCTGATAAGATTTTCTTCATGTGAAATAGAAATACATATTACTCAGGATTTGTTCATAACTTTTTTTTTTACCAGATAAAAGCATTTCAATATTTGTTCTTTCGATAGTTTTCGTTTCACTGTGAGATTAATGTACGCTACTGGCTGTCTGTAGTCCCTGTTTGATGATATACCATTATACTGGTTTAATGATATTCTGTATATCGGTAAAGTGATTGTTCAGGGTTCATTCTACAATCACACTTTTGACGGTAAAATAACTCCTCATAAGACGCATATTTTATCTTAATTCAGGATTAGACTCCTTTTTTGTCAGATTTCCTTTAACCCTCCTATTGTCTTAGTTCCCCCCCCCCCCCTTACTTTGGTGTTTGCGGTCCTGTTTTAACTGCTATTACATTAACACAAAAACCATTAATCATCACCAACTTTCATTTAACATCCTTTCAAACTGTAAATATTGTATCAGACTACTGGTATACATGAAAAACTGCAGTAAATATACAAAGAATAGACACTGAACATGTATTGCGTGTGCCAGGTGTGATCCATGTGGGGGGATGGGCACATAAGAGCGGGAAATGTGTCAAATTGTTCTGTGTGTTTGTGAGTGCCAGGTGAGATTCACATGGGGGGGGATTGGGCACATAAGGGGGGGGGAACACGTGTGTGTGTGTGTGTGTGTGGTGTGGTGTGTGTGTGTGTTGTGTGTGTGGTGTGTGTGTGTGTGGTGTGTGTGTGTGTGTGTGGGTGTGTGGTGTGTGTGTGTGTGTGTGTGTGTGTGTGTGTGTGTGTGTGTGTGTGGTGTGTGTGTGTGTGTGTGTGTGTGTGTGTGTGTGTGTGTGTGTGTGTGTGTGGTGTGTGTGGTGTGTGTGTGTGTGTGTGTGTGTGATGTGTGTGTGTGTTGTGTGTGTGTGTGTGTGTGTGTGTGTGTGTGTGTGTGTGTGTGTGTCACCATGGGTATTACAAAGTTGACTAAATCATCCAAAATTCAATGAAAGTGGTGATCAGCAATTGTATGTGTTCAAATGTCTACTGTGAAGGATATCATAAAGCCTTAATGCAATCGAATGTAAAAAAAAAAAAGTTATGATTGATGAAAGTAGTAAATCGGTCAGATTTGACCCGAAGACAACAGGAGGGTTAAGGTACTTAAAATGTTGTCTTTATTAAGTGTTAACCGTTCATAAACACTTATTTGTGTATTGTAATTGTAATGCTGTCTGTTTGCGCACTGTGATGCTGGGCATTCCTATTTCATCCTGGGATGTTCTACAGTATCATGTATTCACTATATTATGCAATGCAATAAGGAAAATGTAAACACAAAGCTCCCTCTCTGCTGTAGCTGGTGGACAGGAGATTGGACGGAGTGCAGTCGCAGCTGTAACAGCGGCCTGCGTACCCGGGAGGTGTTCTGTCAAAGGCGGCTCTCTGTGACGGAGGAGAAGGTCCTGGACGACTCCGCCTGTGCGACGCCGCGGCCCCCTCTCACTGAGCCCTGCAGCAACCACAGCTGCCCCCCAGAGTGGCTGGCCCTGGACTGGTCAGAGGTAACAGGGATTCAATCTTACATGTTTTAGTAGCATTTAAGTCTTCCTCTTATATGAAGTTTGTCCAGTTGAAACCTTAGAAACGTAGACATCAGCGCAGGAGAGTAAAGCCATGCAATATGCAACAGAATCGCAGAGCAGACCAACACATTACAGTTGTTGCAGTCTTCAAAAACATAATATGTTACATTTGTCATGTGGGGAATCCCTCACATGTTTTTAATGTTGAACCTTAGTTTTGGGGAGACTGTAGGAGTTGAAATATGTCTTTTATGCCCTTGCAGACTTGTAAAATATATGTTTAAGATCTGCGGGTTTCAGCTTTTATCTGGTGTTTGTGTAATGTAGCAATGACACACACAGAAAAGGAATTTGTCCAGCGAACTTTCCAGGAACTGATCAGGCTCTTGACTTTGTTTCCAGTAGAGCAGCTGCCCTCTTCTGAGTGGATTACAAAAGCTTCTTTCGCATGATTTTTGATTGCAATGACCCGCTGTTGCACCCTCCCATCGACTCCAAATCCCTGTCCCCTCATCAACCCCTCTGTTCGCAGTGTACGCCCAGCTGTGGTCCTGGCTACAGGCACCGTGTGGTCTTGTGTAAGAGCGGGGAGAGCGGAGACAACCTGCCAGAGTCCAAGTGCCCCAAACATGGCCGACCGACCTCCAGGGTGCGCTGTAACCTGCAGCGCTGCCCCCCCCCTCACTGGGTGACCGGTCCCTGGGGAGAGGTAAGACAGGCTTTTGCTTCAGTCTTTTTAATATTCAGTATTTTGTAGTATTTTGACTTAAAGATGATCCCCAATGTGTTAGTGCTCTGCCAGGTGTGGGCTGGGTCAGGAGAAGCGCATGGTGCAGTGTCTGACTCCCACTGGCCAGCCGTCCAATGAGTGTCTGGAACATCAGCGGCCCGCAGCCATGCAGCAGTGCAAGAGCAAATGTGACCTCAATCTGGCCATCAGCACAGACAACCCTGAAGGTCAGAGGTCAAATCATCGCTCCTCTTCATGTGTCATAGAAAAAACATTATAGAAAGGTTTACTGCTAAAAAGTAAAAATATAGTTTTTAACATTTTTATTGTAAAGGTCTCCTATAATGAAAAATGCACTTTTCTATGTATTTTATACATAAATATGTGTCCCCGGTGTGTCAGGTAACTCACAAAGTGTCAGAAAACAAAACCCTCTCTCTTTTCCTCCGTACCCACATCTCAAAAAACGGAGGTACAGAATGTTTCAGAAATAATCCTTAATGTGGTTTTGAACATGATATTGCGTTTAATCACGGCAGCATTTAGCTGAGTATCTGGGTAGAATTCTCCTGATCAGATACTCAGCATAATTTCTTTTTCTTTTATTAAAGCTTTAGACCCAGAAACAGCATTTCTCTAACAGGGCTGAAACAGAGGGATATGAGGGATGTCTAAAATGCATGATCTGTTTGGTATCTTGAGCAAAACACATCATAGACATGTTTTTTATATATTTGTATATATCTGAGACCCATATAATATGCCTAAAAATAGCATGATAGGAGATCTTTAAATTGTACATTTCTTATCACATTGAGCCTGATTCCATCAAACACAAGATGTATAAGTCTGAACAATAAATGTGAATATAAGTGATAACATTCTTACATTTAATTCTTAATAATAAAATGTAATTTCCATGCATTAATTACTTCATGTTTGTCTTCCCCGCAGAGTGTAAAGATGTGAACACTGTGGCCTACTGCCCCCTGGTGCTCAGGTTCAAGTTCTGCAGCCGGCCATATTTCAGACAAATGTGCTGCAAGACGTGCCAGGGACACTGACCTGGACACAGCCTCCATTCTCTGGGCCCTGTACTCTCACAGTAAGCCTGACCCCCTCCCACTGAGCCTTTAACAGCAGCCCTCACAACTGGGACGCTGTCGAGCGAACATCTAGTCCCGTTACTGTTAAAGAGGGACCTTTTCTTTCAGCCAGAATCCAGCACAAACCTCTCCGAGCCGAGCTGGGCCGAAACAGCCCTGACTGAGTTTTACATTCCACTGGAGGGAGGGGGGGGGCTGCTGAACCCCGCAGACAGACAGAGAGAGAGAGAGAGAGAGAGAGAGAGTGAGTAACTTCCCTCCATCGTCTGCCTTTCTATGATCCCTCTGTTGTAATATTTTGGTGCTACTATATTTTTCTTTGGCCGCAGGCCTGGTCACCGTACTCTCTTAAAACCTGTATCTTAACAGGTGATTTTTGTTTTGTTACGAGTTAAAAAAAATCCACTTTGTAAAGAACATGATTTTTCCTGATATCTTCCCTCATGAAAAAGAATATCTCGTGCTATAAAATGAAAGATCTGTTTCTATGTTATCATTACATAACAGTTGTTACCTGACCACATTGTTTAAATGCCATTGCTTA